GTAGTAGGTAGTAGGTAGTAGGTAGTAGGTAGTAGGTAGTAGGTAGTCGTAGTAGTAGTAGTAGTAGTAGTAGTAGTAGTAGGAGCAGCAGCAGCAGCAGCAGTGGTGGTAGTGGTAGTCGCAGTAGCAGCAGCAGTAGTGGTAGTAGTAGTCACAATAAGTCTAAACAAGCACAAATAAAAGGCCAGGGACACAGGATCAAATTAATAAGGGGTAGTAGCGCAGATTATTGATGGGGGACCGGCCCTTGTGAGGGGTACCCTTTGTGAGCTTGTCAAATGATTGTTCTTAATTGTTTTTTAATAAGGAAATTTATAGGCCTGAGCCCTAGATATTTTTCAGGATTTCATCAAACATGTAGTAGGTAGTAGGTAGTAGTAGGTAGTAGTAGGTGGTAGGTGGTAGGTGGTAGGTGGTGGTGACGGAGGTGGCGGTGGTGGTCGTAGTGGTCGTAGTAGGAGTAGTAGTAGTAGTAGTAGCAGCAGCAGCAGTAGTAGTAGTAGGAGTAGCAGTAGCAGTAGCAGTAGCAACAGCAGTTAGCAGTAGCAGTAGCAGTAGCAGTAGCAGTAGGAGTAGTAGTAGTAGTAGTAATAATACGAACAATTGACCTGGTTGTGGGCTCGGGTAAACTGGGGGGGATTTCTGGTAGAAAACTAGACCATTGGGGGGGAAATCAACAACCAATACTACTTTTAATTTGGGCAATTTCCGGCGGCTTTGTGGGCTCGGATTAACTAGGGGGGATATATTCATCATTAATCCTAACTTTACATCGCGAAAGGCAGCCCTTTTGGGGATACCTAGAGTTTGTTTGTGAAGCACGTCAATTCTCTCCTGGGGAACGTCTTCGTGAGCCTCTTATGGTTTCAGGATAGTTCAAATCCTATGATGCTCCGATTCAATGCTCACCGATGATCTGAGCCATGGGGCAAGTTTGTTTTCCTCAGAATCTTTTTGAACATTTCGAGAGCATATGTTTGAACATTTCGAGTGCATATGAACATATATTTACGACAGGTCGCCTCCGAGGGGATAAATCACCATGTCGAACATTGCATTTTTGTTCCTGCCTCTCGCGTTCTTTTCTCTTCCCGCTGTCCTACCTTTCGTGTCTCCCTCCTCTCAAGTTACTATTGAGTGAAACATCACATTGTCTCTGGCAGCTCATTTCAGATCTTCACAGCATCTTCAAGGCTGCTCCTCATGAAGACGGAGGGGTTGTTCAACACTTGCAAAGCTCTCAGTGGATGGGAAGCCAAGGGTAAGAGAGCCGCAAGCAGACTACCTAAACACGCCTGGTGACAACAAGAGACACATGTGAACTGACCTGGTGCAACCCGCCGAATGGCAAATAGGATGAACTTAAAATGGAATGAACTCCAATGGAATGAACCCTTACGAAGGATGCTTCATAGACACGAAGCAGAGGCTTTAGGCTTTAGTTGAAACAAGTAAACTGCTTTGATATTTTGTTTAAGTTTAATTATCATATGGAGAAGATACTGGATCCCTAGAATAACACAGGCTTTTACCTCATTTTGCACCTTGGACCGCTCCGGACTGGTGACTGTTTTTAAAGATCCTAGGGTATGTAAGTTACCTTGCCCCGCAGCCGTTTGACTCTGGCAGTGATTTGTAAGATGACAATAGTTGACCTCCAACAAGTTGACAAGGTTTGAAACGGTGGACATTTTTCATGCTGGTTCATCTAGCTTACTGGTTTCTTTTCTTTTTGCGCAATCATCCCAGAAATCAATGGCCGGACTCACAGTGGGAGGATTTCAAAGGGCTTAGAACTTATTACCTGTGCGTCAAGCCTGAATCTTGGTGGATTGGAAGCCTTCCAGGCAATCACTGCTGGTGGTCCCGCAACAGTTCTCAGTGTTTGCTCAACGGAGGTGGTTGTTCAGGCAGGAGAAGACCCAAGAAAGAGTTGCAGTCAGCGGATGCAATTGAGCAGAGAATCACAATGTATTTTACTATATCCTGCGATGTTTCAATACAGATGCACAGACTGCTTGAGTCATTCGATACTGCCGTTTTTCGGAATGGCGTTTCCCAACCATCGCACAGCAACAAATCCCAGGTGGCTAGCCTTAGCAGTCGAGCGGGCAGTGAGAGAAGTGCTTGCATCAGCCACGTGGAAGCAGGACGAATTGAGCGGTCAGTGCCCGAAACAGCGATTGCCGGCCGCCGACACTTGAGTTTCTGTTAACATTTAACGTTTCGGTTTGTCTTCTCTTTTTCAAACCACGCTCCTTGAACTTTCTGTTGGAATGCTCAATCTAATGAAGCACCAAGACACCCTATACACAAAGAAGCACAACATTTACGACTCGGAGTTGGTTGGGTCAAAGTGGGTTCAGTCTGTCTCTTGATACCTTTGAGCCATCTCGTTTCAAGAACGTGATTCAGATATTTGTTTGCTTTTTCACGCCACCTTACTACTAGCTAGATTATACTCATATGTATATACTTGCTGCATGTCAACGTTATTTCTGTACCCAAGGCAGAGCAGTCTGTGGCCATCGCAAGCTATTCCTCAACACAGATGGCCACTGGGCTGTTAGTCGAAAGCGCTTGGCATAAGCTGAAGTTGTAAATGGCAGTCGCTGCGGCAAGCTTATATAAAGCGGATGGGTCACAGCGAGTGGTCGCTTTGTGATCGGCGCCATGGCTTTTCTTCACTGGCAGATTTGGAAGGTCTGTTGCTTTCGGATGGCTCGACGCAGGCTGTCAAGGACTTCATTTTCGAGACTGATGAGGACTTCCTGAGGAAGGCAGGACCATCTCACACGCCAAAGAAGCAAATGGCAGCAGGTGGCCTGGTCTCGAACTGGGAGAGATTCAGCAAAAGCTCTGAGAGATTCAAATGGTCCAAGCAAAAGCATTTGATCCTGAAAGCTCTGCTCCGCTTTCTTCAGGCTGCAATGTACATGGGAATCGCTGTCTCGGGATCTTTGGCCTTGGTGATGTGCTTCTCGGCGCTGTCTCGGACGCGGCGCATCGGATGATAGGACGCGAAACATCACCGGACGATGCGCACCCAATACTTTCCTTGTACAAAGAAGCTTGACATCCTTATTTGGATTTATTTTGCGCCAAGCATCTCTATGTTCTTTCATTTCTTCATATATTTGCAATTTGAAACACCGCGCATTCAGGTTGGATTTGTTTCGTGTGTGACATGCACCTAGGCCGAGAGCCGCTACGCTTGGCGCTGACGTGCGGCCCCCGGCCTCCCTTTCTGGGTTCAAGCTTCGCAGTGCAAGACTGTGGTTGCTGTTGTGGAACCGGTTTGATGTGTACCGTACAATTATATAATTCAACACATGAATCAAATCAACGCAACACACTGTGAAGAAAAAGGGGTTGCAACACTTGTTTCACAGTTTTGAGTTTTAGATGGTGACACGGACACATTCCAAACACATATTGCAACACGGTGGGTCACTAGAAAGGAGACTTGTTTGTACTTGAATCAAATGATTGTTCTTGTCCGCCATAATATCTGCCAGGACTTTGCAGCGCATAATTACTGTACATTCCAACTCGATTCGGGCCCAGATGCTGCGCGATCTTGCCCCTAGAACCAAAACTGGGCTTGGGGTGAACAACATCTTTGGCCATTGCTGCAGAAGTTAGTATTGATAGTCAATAGTCATTCCAGTACTAGCAACGGGTTGACTCCAACGTTGCAAGTGGATGGATCAAAAGAGATGTTGTAGCCACTTCGCATTTGAAGCAAGGAGCCACCTCTGGAGCATTTTCATGCAGCAATTCAATACGAAGGACCGTCCTCTGCTGCAACTGCACACGCATCGTCTTTTCAGTGAAAGACAGCAGACTGAATTGGAAGTGAAAGACACGAGAAGCTTATGGCTCAAGGTCCTGGTCAACTGCAGGTCTTTTCCTTGCCAATCAGATTTTGATCCTCCAGCCAGCCAGCCGGATTCCCTCACACAAACGAACCTTCACATGAGGAAAGTTTGAGACCGCTACCCTCGGGAAATCTTCCACAAGGGTCATTTCCAGCAAGATTTTGTTGTGATGTTTGCAATGTTGTACAGCGTGAATACTCTGTTGTGCAGACTTGCCACTGACCCAAATTGACCAAATCAAAACGTTGCCCACATGCACAAAGCCTTTCAAATCCTAACCAAAGTGATCCAAAGTGTGTCACTATGGCTTGCTTTGCCATGGGTGTTTTTCTGCTCTCGCTTCTACATACTGCAGGCTTCCGGCCAGCTTTCCTTTTTAAGGGAACTTCCGCCAGCATGGGTGTCACGTTTAAGGCACAATGATCACGGTTTCCAACCTTTGTTTGCATATGTTTGCATATTGGTGACAGTACTTGTGTTAGCCAAGCAATATCTACTGTAAAGAACTTCTCTGTTATCGAGGCGGCGTTGGTGCGACGCCCCTTCGCTTCTCTGTCAGTGGCCAGTCAGCTGGTGGTTCCATGGCATCTCGGTGATTTCCATGGCATCTGGTGGGTCAACCGTCCTGGGTCCTCTCACTGGAAGAAAAGAAGCACCTCTCACTGGGTCTTTCAGATTCTGGTCTGTCTTTAAGACGTGAATCAAGTCATGCAGTTTTCAAGCTGGGAGGATGAGGTCGGTCACTTGGATGACTCACTTGGATTGCTGGGATCATTGGCAGTCGACTCTTCAGAGTGGACATCCACGAACGGAAAATCTGACTGATGTGAAGACATGTGGTGGGAGCTGGGAGCTGGGAATGGGGAAGGTCTTTACATGTGAAACATACAAGTGACATACATTACAGTCATTACATTACAGTAAAGAATTACAGTCTTTCAACATGTAATTTCATTCATTCCACCTTGTGACATACAGGTGGAATTGGATAGGTCGCTCACTCGTCAACGATGGCGCAATTGGACCGAAGGCCGTCAATCACCTCTTTGCCTACTCGGCCTCTCGGCCGTCAATCAACGGGTTCAATGCTTATCACTTTATGAGAATTTCTTAAGAGAATGGGGAAAGAGATGGAAAAGAGTATCCGCAAGAACCAGGAGCCAAATGTTTGCAGATGCTAATTTAGTTTCATTTGCTGTCAGTTGAAATTCTACCCTGCGCTTCTCAAGACTTGCCCTGTTCAGGACATCTACTTTTAGTTTGGAATACTATAGCATACTGCAGCATACGAATTATGGCGTTACAGGCGTTACATAAGTTGGACATTACGGTGAGTCGTCATTGATGCGCGGCGGTGCCAAGTCGCATGTGCGGGCAGTAGCATCAACAAGATCATCTTAAGTTGGCCGACACGGTTACGTAAGAATTCCTGATTCTCCTTTCAGGATTACACAGCGACGCACCTTTGCAACCGCTTTCGCCTACCGCCCTGCTGCCCTCAAGTGTGTATATGTATGTAATATATGCACAGACTATATCATAAATGTAGAATTGTAGAACTGCTTAAACTGTTTGTCGCTGTAGTCTATCGTGTCACTTATTCTTTTGGGACCCTGTAAACCTTTGATTTGCCCTGTCTCAGAGCCACGTGGATGGTGCCACTATCGCGGCGGGATCACCCTATGGCTGCGGGGTGCAGCCGGACGAGGACTGGGAAATATGGGCAGCATCGTAGAAGGTGCTGGTGTCTTTTCATGATTTTTCTTCGTATTTATCTCATTTCAGTCCTGGGTCCTGGGTGATGCTGAGGGAAATGTCACTACTGTCCCCTCATTTTCCTGTCGGCTCAGCTAAGCATGTCAAGCCCGGAATTGGACATCGCAAGGGTTGGTCCTAAATCCCATGGATCCAACCCATGAAATCCATGACATTCCTCGTCATGTTTGTAACTTGGAATACAAAACACGAGATCGGAAGCAAATTGGAAGCAAAAAGCTTGAGAATCGCTTCAACGGCCATTAATTTCGATTCGATCAAGACGCGATCATTACGCTGCTGCTGCCAGGAAGATCGCTGCTACTATGGTCATGTAGATATCAAAGCTTCCATCGCTTGGGTGCCGCTCTGGCTTAAAGACCACTTAGTTTGCATTGACGTTGCGTATATCAGCTCCGAAGGTTTCGTTTACAAGAAAGGCTCAGAATGGATAGAAAGGACACCCACCACTTGGCGTGATAGAATCAAGCGGGACACCCACATCCTTATTGAATCGATAGCGTATTGACTTAGGCCACCTCGCCACCTTAGGACACACGCATCGCAAGCATCGCTTGATTTGTTGAAATTAACTTAGTGACACAAAGGTTGTTCCAGATTAGGGTTCGAGCATTTTTGCACAAGTCTTATGGCGCTGAAGCATCAGAAAGTACACCATCGCCTCCATGTATAGTAATTCTCTTGCGGATGGTGGTGCAATGAGCAAAGTATGCTCTCGCTCTCGTTCCCGCTTCTCAAGTATACAACTTTCACACAACAAGTAAAAAGGTAGATGTTCTCTTCTTTGCACCACAAACATGGACAAGTACTCCCAAAAACGCCAAAAAGCTCACACATGGACCAGCAAAGTTTAGTTTGTGGACCAATCTCCAACCAATTGTTTGACCTTCTCTTTCGCCGCTGGAAAGATGCAGCACTGCAGTGATTCATCGCTCATGTTGAATCACTCAGTGCCAGTCTTCTACTATGCTTGCAGGTATTGGCGACATGAGCAAGGTCTTATTGATGATCCGGCCAACTTGATTCTTGCCTTTTGATGTCCTTAGATACTTATTCGTGGTGTCAGTGCCACCCTTGAGTCAAAAACGATAGTGCCATGCTACCTATATAGTTCTAGACTAAGAGTCTGGGCAATGCTTCGTGAGTGGCTTCAGACATTCAGTGAGACCTGCACCAACCTGGTGTCTCCTTTACGTAGGATTAATTGTACCATTTGGCATTGGTAGTCAACCACAGCCAGCAGCTGAGCCACACTTCCAAGTCTCGCACAGAAGCAGTTGTTTTTGAATTGGATGCAAGCCAAGGAAGAATATCCCTGTACTACTCTTCAATGGCAAGTGGGACGAATGTGTCTACACCAGGAGCCAGCAGTGCTGACTGATGCCAACCGGTCAACACACCGGCACTTGTCGACTGTGTAGTTCCGTGAGTCACTGCTGCGGTGCAGGGTCATGCAAGACACCTACAAGCAACTGCGGTTCTTCATGAACGAGAGCATGATTTTCCAACGGTTTTCCACACGTCCGGGACTTGGATCGCTGTGAAGGATTTGGTCATGTCCACTCCGTGGACTTGTCTATCTATTTCAGGATGTGAATCCTACGAACGGGCTTCTGCTTACAGTGGACACTTGCAAAGACTCTTGTAGCCTCCCACCCAAGAGATTTGACCTTCCGGTGCCTGTCTTGAGTAAAAGACCTTTGCACGTCTTGAGTCGTGTGAATGTAGTTGGCCTGTTTGCGTCAGATGCAGCCCATGTTTGGAGCTTGGACAATGGCCAGTGCAGCTGCCACTTGGCATCTATTGCACATTTGGACTGGCAGGACTGCCATGATATTTCAGCAAGGCCACAAGAACAGGCAATGTCTATATATATATATACTCGCTTGCAACTTGCTGATCTGAAAGCTTTCAGTGTCAAAGGAGCCTGTTTTAGTCGCAGCTGCCGCATCCGAGGCGGTACTTGCTCAGACTTTGTTGGATCTTTGGAATGTTGTGACTTGGTATGGGTGAAGTAGCTGGTTGCTCAGGTGACTTGGTATGGTAAAGGTCTTAGCAGATTCTTGTGACGGAGTCATGTGAGTCATTCCACCCACCCAGGAGCTGGTTCCAAATCATGTACACTTCAGGTTTTGGAGTCCTTCAGGCCTCGGTCGCATCAGGGTCCCTCCCCCGCGGGTCGCCAGGGTCAACGCGCAGGCCCCGGGTCGCTCGGATACCACCGGCGGTGTCGATGCCACAGGCGATGTGAACAATTGCAACTACGATTTGAGTGGTGTCTCGGTGTCGAAAAGGAGGACTCCGCAAGGGCTTGCGATTCATCATATTTCATCGTGATGAATGGCAAGAAACCATGTCCTTTTTGCCTAGTTTTCATGAAGCAAAGACAGAATTGACGGTTTGCTGCGTGTGTTGCTTCCCAAAGCTCTCTTGCCTCACCAGGTGATTCACTCCGGGCATTCTATGGCGAGATCAAGCCACGAAAGGTAGCCCATCCAACGCTTGTGCACGTGGATCAGTGGCTGGAGCTGTGTAGTGCTGTGGAGTTGTTTTCAACATGACTGGCATGACACTCTCGCTCTTTCTACTTGTTGATTTTAATATCCCGAATCTGATCGAATCCGGACTCATCCATATTGTAACATCCCTGCCTCCACTTGAAATGTCTTCAGTTGAAGTCGTTTTGCTTTTCAGATTCAGTTGGAGTTGCATGCTTGAGATGGAGGAGATTCTGCGGAATTATGGGTTGTTGACTGCTAACAGAAAGATTTCGCCAAATTTGGCGTGTTTGGACTTGGAGTTTCAACCTATTGCTGATCCTTGCCCGAGGTGGAAGTATCTCCCACCAGAGGCTACCTTCAATGCGACGATTGGCGAACTTCCAAGGCCAGCGAAAGACACGAGCCTGCGAGTGTCTTATGCCTTATATGCTTCCAGTCAGATAGAGAAAGAGGAGAAGCCAAGTTGCGTCAGGTTCTTGAAGGAATGACAATCACAGTGACCACAATGACACGTCCAAAAGACTAACGGCACCCCTGAAACGGCCAGAATGGATTCAGCGCTGATCAGAGTTTCTGGGTGTTAAGGGTTCCTAGAGTTCGTGAATCTAGCTGATGCACCTTAGAGTTCTGGATTGTTTCAACAGCTTACAACGTGCATGACTGGAAGAGTATGAATAAACTGCAGTCGGAACACACCTGCAGAGTATGGCCTTGTCTGGCAGGGGTGGGCTGTGGAAGTTTGCCTTGGTCTATGTTCCCGAAAGCTGCAAAGAACGTGTTGACTCCTGCCGCATCCACGTAAACTATCACGGAGCCTTGGTCATTGGAGTTCTACAAAGTCTGGATCGCCAAAGTCATGGAGTTCTACAGAACTTGTTCGAAGAAGAACTCCAGCAGACAGATCTGTAAAAAGTGGGTTTGTTTGCGAAGTGGCTGATGCTTTGCTTTGTCCCACCTGATGAGGATGCATCAAGAAGCGGTTGGACCGCAGGCGGTTGTGGGTGTCTTGGTCAAGGCTATAAGATAGTAGAAGACTTATCAAGAATTGTCTAGACATTCAGGCGTTTGGGTTGGGAACATTTTCTTGAAAGAAATACAGCACCTTGGGGCTAAAAGATGATGGAGTGCGGGGCCTCTCTTGGCTTTCCGTGCTTCGATTATCAGCTTCCATGGATGTGCAGCATCTGTCCTGGAGAAATTCTGTAAGATTTTAAGTTCTTGCATTCTGTTAGTGAGTGGTTTTCCTCATTGCCCTCAAGAGATTTCTTGCTTGCTTCAGAAGTTTGGGGTGTCACAATGATCGGAGCTCCTTGATGCTCTCGACTCGTAGGAGCCAGTCTTTCAGGATCAACCAGCTTTCTTGAATTGTCAAACAGCTGGAGAGCTGAGCTTGCTTGAGAGGAGGCGTGAAAAGGCCCTGAATGCATCAATCACACCAGCCCAACAGAAGGACCTCGCGCCTCCAAGCCTTGGATCATCATACCTCATCACAGGTTGCTTGTTCTCAAATGCACAGCTGAGGCAACCTCCATCAATCTCAACGAGTATGCTGAGGCCAATGACATCATTGTAGTCTATCCGCAGGCCCATGGAGTCGGGGCTGTTGCGAACGCACATCGCCAGCTCGACATCGCCAGCTCCCCCGCAGCTAGCACGTCAGTGTCTACAATGAGGATGCGAAGATTGTGGACAATTCGGGTCATTTTACTTTGAAGACAACTATAATTAATGTGAAGTGGTGAATCGGTAAAATACTTGAGCATGTGGATTACACGCCGGGAGCTGGGCAGCATGAATTGACACATGCAGCTTTTGAGAATTGGCACATTGAGCTTCACAGCGGACGCCAGGCCGCAGGTAGCCACGGCGAGGGCATTGGGTGTGCCCTGGCAGAGAAAGAATTGTAGGTTTCCCCAGAAATCTAGGAACAAATCATTAGTGCGTGAGCTATCCAGCGTCCTAGCTAGGAGCTTAGATCATATTGCTAGTAGCGAACTACTCCCTGGCTTGATTAAGTAGGCGCCTACTTAATTGAGTAAGGAGGCAGGGCCACGGCGGCCACGGGCTTTAAAAAGGGAAAAGAAGAGAAAATACAAAAACAACAGAGTTCAGAAGTTTGGTCAACTTGTGGTGACAGCATTGGTCCCCCCACAACCTGCTTTAGCTCACGGGGTCCACAGCGACGCGATGGTGATTACGTGTGGTAATTACAGCATTTCGTTGTACTCGCGGGGCCACTGGGGAGAGCGTTGACTCTGCAAAATAGTTTCTTTTTTGGTGTTTTTGTAAGGTTTTTGTTGTCATCAGTGTCAGAAGATAGTCTGGAATTGCGCAACAGGTGAACCGCAAATGAAGATGATGTTGGATGGAGTGGGGGGAGTTTGGGGGGGCTGATTTCGCTCTTGGTTGATTGGATGCAGCACTTTGATGATTTGCATAATTTTATGTGATGTACAATTCTTCGTTCGTTTGGAGTCATGTTGCTTTTCGCTGGGCTCAACAGACTGTTTTTGGCTCGAATGTTTTCAAAATGGAGATCGTGCTTGTGATCTCGTCGATGGGAAGGGCATTGGCAATGACATTGCCCTAGGGCCTAGGTTGACCAAAGTTGCTAGGTGTTGGAAATGACTAGAATTGACGACGGCATTCCCTTTGGAAATCAGGACCTGTTGAACACGAGGAGTCTCAAGATAAATGGGGGAATGCAATTCCCCCCGCGTCACTAACGACCCCGTGACCTTGTTTTTCTTTTGTGGTTAAACACAATATTCGTCCCTCAGGCCCAGGCAAAGCAATTGGACACGAGCAGAAGCAGAACCAATATGTTTGCGAGGTCCCCAAGGTTTCTGCTTGAAGCTTAGGTTGGAATTGGGGTGACGAGAAGGCTGACCACTATTTTGATACTCGAAGGCGGGGTGAGCCGAGTGTGCTTTTCAACAGTGACTCAGTGGGCCGGAACTGTGCACTCCAATGTACCTTCCACAAAGCATTGTCAAAATCGGCGCAGCAATTTGACTATTATATTAACTATATACTGTATATATATATAGTATATTAACTGTTATTCAGTTTTTATCGTACAATATATATATATGCATATGCAGTTTACAGTATACAGTATACACGTGGCTGCCCAACAATAGGACTGATCTTTCTGACTTGGCTGGAAGGAACTCATGCGTAGAGATTCGATGATCCGTAGCAGAGCAAAACATGTGGACTTCCATAGTTCTGAACTTCAGCACACCAGAACAAGTGGCCCTAGCTGGCAGTTGTCGCCATGGGCCTTATTGGCTTTTGCTCTCTGAGCCCAGGGCTGTTCAGCTCAGAACGATCATGAATCTCCTGGAGGATCTTCCCAATGCGATTCAAAACGCAAAGAATGTGGAGGACAGTTTGCTTGCGAGCAGTCTTTCCTTCGGCGCTTATCCCTCTCCTTTCCCCTTCCAGTGATGCCATACGCATAAAACTTGGGAAACCATGGAGAAAGAGAATGCGGCAGGGTGATTGTGCATTTCATGTGGCGTTGCGCCGGACCATGAGGAGCTGGGCAATGTAGAGGAAGATTCTGAAGATGCGAATGTATCCGTTGCATCATTGGTCGTTTGAGGAGCCGGGGGGGTGCATGTTATTGATGCATCCAGAAGGGACACCGGAAAGAACCTTTTTTGACTAAGACAGAGCCGTTGAAACAAGTTATCATAAGAGAGCCGTTTCTGTTCAAAAAGACTAAGGCTCCTTTTCTTTTCAAAGAACCATGTGTCAAGTTGCGGTTGCAGTAGCTGCTGTAGCTGTCAGAAACTTGGTAGATGCAGACAGTGGTTGATAGGCTTCGCTCATGTGTCCAATGAAAGCTTATTCTTGTTCAAGTTTGAGATGACCCGGGGCATGAGTGTCCATTTAGTTTATACCGTAATAATTAGGTACTTTGTACTTCAACTTTCTCCCCATGTCCATAGACAACGAACTTGGTACAGATCCCTGTTGACATTGATGCTTAGATGCTTTGATCGAGTCTTTTGTTCCCACTATTCTGGTTTTTGCTTCTTACGTACTCACATTTCTCGAGAAATGGAGGGTGTCAAGAAGGCTTCCGCCTTGCAAAGCTTGGTTGGAGACGTGAGCACCGTGAGGATCGAACTGTGGCATTTTCAAAGCTGCGTCGGTGCTCAAAGGGGAGCCCCTTGCTGTTTGGGCAATGAAAAAGGCTCCCATGCGCTGCTCTGGCAGAGATGTCAACCCTGAAGCAAGTGAGGGGCCTGAGGCGTGGTTAAGAACCTTTGGAGGTTTGTCGGAGGCTGCTAGAGGACAAGCGGAAATGGGCATGCTTCCCACAACAGCAGGGAGGTATATTTTTGGCAACCGCGCCCCTCAGGAGCCATGTGTTTATAATCTTTTTAGCTTTCGTGGCTTCGATGTCAATTGCACTATTGACGTCACTTGTACTTACAAACATACTTGATGCTACGGCATGGGGTGGGGTGGAGTTCTATTGACGTCACTTGTACTTGCAAACATAGTTGATGCTGCGCCATGGATGGGGTGGGGGTGGGGTGGAGTGGGGTTCTATCGACTTTTTTGGGGTTTGCGGCTTTGGTTCGTGTACGCGAACGTCGAAATGTCCAACAAGTCCTTCGAAACTTTTACACCGGAAAAACAGCGTATTCGAATGCGTTCGAAACTGTAGCGAAACATCTAACACGGACCAAGCAACCCATTCAGCACGTGAACACCTCCCAAACCTCTCGATCCACCGTTCACCTCACTGCCCGTGAGGGGAAAAAACCACAGACCCACTGACCCACGGCCGTTTCAACTTCACAGACCCACGGCCGCGTTTTTGGGACGCGCAGTCATACTTTACGACTGGTGAACGCGGTTCTCTTGTGAGCTGAAACTCTTCGTATCGGGATTTTGAGGACACAACTGTATTGTGACATGGTTCACACCCAAAGCCATTCCAGGTCATGGTTTATTTTAAAATCCAGATACGTGTTGTTTTGATGGCTGCAACCTATTTTGCGCACTTGCCTTGTGACACTCTGCGATGCAACGGAGAACCTCTTCCAGGGCCTAGGCGTTATGAAAACTCACTGTGCATTTCACTTCATTGGTGACAATGGTGTGAACCCGCTGAATATGTGTTGTGATTGTGCACCCACTCATGATGCCCCGACCCCCCCCCCAGCCTGTTTCGACGACTCTTCGATGACAACGTTGTGGCGATGTCTGCTGTGAAGCATCGGTCTGACATCGTTGTCATGTTGTGAAACATCGGTAGAACAAAACACTGCACACAGCAGGCGACTGGGGAGAGCGTCAACAAAAGCAGTCAACTTTAGCCTGTTGGAGCCAGCCAGGAAGAGAGTTGCCTGACAAGCGGATGTGCACTTTGCCTGTCTTTTGCATGTGCTATCCGATCGACCCAGACTGACTGTACCAAACATCCAATTTCCACCAAACCGTCCCATCAGAAGATTTGGTTCTTCGTATATGATGCACTCTCTTCACAATTGGACAGACCAGCCTGCCACCAACGGAGCTTTCCCCCTTTCATGACTAGCATTGGGGCAAAACCATGGCAAACTTTCAGAGTTTTGCTGTCCTGCGAGTGGGTTGCATGGATTCCGAAAAACGTATCAGTATCCCGTACCGGTCCCGTACCGGTGTAATTCTCTTTGCGCAGATTGAGGGGGCTCAAAGTATACAGTAGAAGACTGAAGAGCCATCCAAGATGGGCGAAGTGGTACGTGTGCCGACCGACAAGCTCATGGAGGACCGAATTCAATGAATGGCTCTTTCTTTCCTTCCAATCACACCTTTTCAGCAAGAAAGGCTGTGCTTCATAAGGCTAAAAGGAATTCTTTTAATACCTACTGTATTCAGGTATGGTCCAGCATGCGATTGTCTTTGCATCCTTCCATTTCAAAGGTCTCTGAAATGCATGTATTAATATAACTGATTATAATTACCTAGTTCACATGTGGTCTTGCTTGGCACTTCTACCCACGTTGCGGTTTAGTTTACCTGTGATACGACCACATGTCCCTCTAGTTGAAGCAGGCTTCCGTGGGTTTACCTTCACCACTTCCTGAAACACCCCAGAAGCCCAGAAGAGGTTTACCAACGACAACCAGGGATTCTGCCACGCAGGAGCAGAGAAATGGTGCTCCTGTTGTACTATGCATGTGGCTTTGTGTGCCTGCGTGCCTAGGCTTCGAAGACAGAATCAGCCTAGACCGTTTCACTTACCTTCACCTCACTCCACTTTCTTCATTCTCCCGTGATGTAGCCCCTGTTGCCTAACTTGACACTTGACAGGATTTAAGAGGGATCTTTGCCAGGGATAGACTGTATGCCATTGTAAAGATCATCACATCATTCCACATTTTGGCCCATGGGTTTCTCGTCCAATTCGCCACTTGTGGACATCATAGAGCCATGTACCACAACAACTCTGCAGACTGCTAAGAAGCTAACAACAGATGGATTTGTGGCTCTTCCGTTATATACCCACTTGACTGACTCAGAACGAGGTGCTGCTGCTTTTGGATCCCAATGCTGTTCTTCATGGGAGCAGCCAACGCTTTGCCAATTTGCCCCAACTATGACAGGAAGCTTGGACAACTTGAACAGAGCTTGCAGCCACTTCCATGCCCTTTCTGGAGCTCAACCATCGTTTCTCTCGGACGGTTATTCGTTAGCCACATGCATATAGTCACACGTCGGTTTCCATTCACACGGTGGGTGCATCTTTCGGGTGATACAGTGTCTCGCTGCAGTCGCATCCGTACTGTATCGGAGTTTGATCGCTCCGACTCGCGCTGACCTGCCGACCGCCAGCTTCACCATTTGGATGAAGACCTATGGCCTCGCTCCGACCCTCTGTGCAATTGCCGTGCAGTTCTTGGTGACTTTGACTGCGTGTTGCTCGGAGGCCCAGATTGCGAGAGCCATCGGCTGGTGGGGGTTATCGGCCAAAGACTGAACTGACTGAGCAGAAATATGACTGAGACATACTGAGACTTTGTTACTTCCTGATATGTCCTGATATCAACTGCGTAAAATGAGAAGGCTCATGCATGCTGTATTGTAATATATTGTATTTTATTGTGATGCTCTATGTTACATAATTAGTGTTACATACGTTTGAACTGCGTATAATTTGCTTGCCTCTTTAGGGAAGGCTTACAAGGAAGACTTTGAATGCGTGGTGTGTGTGTTGTACACCTTGGATCCACAGGTAACCTTTTGCTTTTTGGCAAGAATCTGCCAGGGGAGCGGTGGGCATTCCTAAAGTCACCGCTCAACGAAGACAATTTAAGTTTGCTGCGATATGCAATCTGGGCGCAGATTGCACGTACTTGCGAGAGGATGATCACCACGTATTTCCTCCTTGGTCCCGTACTTAACTAGAACAAGAACCTTGGCCTTTGCTTCCGTTTGAGTCTGCAGTCACACTAGGTCCCTTGGAACTTTGGAAGTGAAACGATGTCGGCCAGAGCTTTTGGAGATGTTGGACCTGGAGAAACTTTGGAATCTATGAGATCCGTTACATGTTACCTGGTTCACTGAGGCAGTTTTCACCTAGCCTTCTTCTAGGCGTTTGGTGGCCTTCGCACGAACTCTTATCCCGTGTGTGTCTCTCCTTGTCGGAGTGAGCCCAAAGAGTGCCCTCCGTGGTCCTGTTGAGCAGGGGTTTGTCTCTTTTAGCGTGCCCACAGGAGCAGGTCGTAGACCGGAACGTGCCCAAAGCGAGCGCAGTTGCCAGCATGGTTCAAGGTGGCCGGAGCGGCCGTACGTTTAAGGCTCAGTGGGTCCGGACCTCAACTTAGCGTGCACACCGCGCGCATACGTCCCAAACGAGGCTAGGTTTTGGCCCTCTCCTCTGGTTCCCCCCTTACGGCTTCTCCGGGACGCGTGTATGTACCTGCTGGAGTGATGCTGACACGATGCGATGTGAACCATTTTCTTCCCTTTTTTGCCAGCTTTCTCTTGCTTCTCTCTGTTGTTCTTTGTTTTTCCTTTCTTTGGTTGTTTTCTAGCAGGTTTGTCAGGTGCCATCATGCCATCAGGTCGGAGTCGATTTTACACCCGTCTTTCACTTAGGCCTTCAACTTAGGCCTCTCCAGGGCAAGGGGCTTTCATACCGTACGTACCTTTATCCCCCGTGTGTGTGGGAGCGTCTACATCACAGTCAGGTCGCAATCACTGTCTTTTCAAATTGGCATTGCGCCTGCAAGTTCTCACTGGCTTGGTGTACCTTGGCAGGATGAAGAGTACCAGACGCAATAGGGTGGATGGAAAAGAACATGTACTGTGCGTCTGCATGTTGCGACTGCTGCAGATGCCACTAGCTGCTACCAATTCAACCTAGCACTGTAATCATGAAGCAATGACAACTGGTGTGCGTTGAAGCCAATCACATGGAAATGAAATACATCAATATTCTGACTCATGTCTCATGCTGATACATTCCAATGCATGAAATACCATCACTACTGCAGCAGAAACAACTGCAGTTACTGCTTCTGATCATGCTGCTTCTAATACTAGATCATTCCATTGCTACTGTGCTGAATGTGATTGGGGCCCCTGCTGCTGTGATGTTCATACTGCGACTGTTTTATGAAACAAACACTCGGCACTCCTGTGAAAATAAGCTGTTTGTCACAACCTCGCTGGGATTCGTGCCATTGTGACGGGGAATCTGCGACGAATCCAGCGCCAGGTAAAAAGGAAGACCGTTGCATCATTTTGCTCGGCGGACAATTATATATATATATATATTTTTCTTCTAGACTTGGATCACAAATGGGCCAGGGTTTCTTCCACACTGTAGAACTCCCATTCAGACTCGCGGATCTACACCAGTTGCTCAAACGTATTGTGGATGTGGTCGCCTCATGCTGTATATGCTGTTTATATCTGTTTATGGATCCAGAAGATCGTGGCTGTCGACCCACATAGTGTGGATTTGTACCAGACCTGCGGTTTGTCAAATTTTGCTTGCAATCTGAGGGGCGTTGGTCTGATGGCCTGGGGTTGGGTGGAGTATTCGCAGACGGAAGAGACGCCTTGCGTGGGCACTGGGGACATCAATCCCAGGACGTTGGCCCTTGCATCTCGGCAGCCCTTGCATCTTCTCACGACCACTTTTCTTCCGCTGTCCAAAGCAGTTTGTTGCTTTCATCGTAGTCTGCACTGGCACAGTCTAGAATCTATGTTGCTTGTTTCGTACATTGGCCATACCTCCATGCTTGCAGGTCTTTTTGATCTTTGGGTCCATTGGAGCTCCAGGAGTGCTAACAGCTGCTTTGATGAGGGGCTGCTGCGGCGATGTGCCCCTCAGCTGCAGGTCCGGAGGTGCTTTGAGCTGGGAAAAGCCTTATTTGCAAAGAACGGACGCGCGGACGTGGGCCATGGTGGAACAAACATCAAATCGAATCAAATCGAAACAAACGTCTTTCCTTACTTTTGCAAGCTTCAAGCAAAAAGCGAAGTAAGGAGCACAAGCATGTGTTTTCAAAGCGGCAAATCAGTAGAA